GGAACTCATCTGGCCCATCGCACTATAGGGGCGGCAACGCCGGGTGGGCCTCTCGTGAAATAATTATCTGCTTACTCCTTACGTGTACTCCCTATTGGTTCGACTTTTATGTTCCTACGCTATTCCCTGTTGTCACGAGATAGGTGAGTACTCCTGCTATCCTGTGTTGAGTTTGAGCTACCGGGTGCTGCAAATCAGCATGCGTCATGTCGACGCCAGCAATACGCTGCCGTGTTCGCATCGCGAGATCACCCTTGCGGCGAGTGAAGAAGAAGTATGTATGCATGTACGTATGTATGTACGTACCTACGTACGTACGTACATACATACGCGTGTGTGTGTGTGTGAGTGTGTGTGTGTGTATGTGTGTATGTCTATCTACGTATGTATGTATGCATGCATGGATGGATGGATGGATGAATGTATGTATGTATGTATGCATGCTTGCATGTAGTGTATATGCATGCATGTAGGTCATTATTCGCTGGTCAAAGTGCTGTGGGTGTATGTATGTATGCATGCATGGATAGATAGGTGAATGTATGTGTGCATGCATGTATTTCTGCATGCATGTACGTGCGTGTGGATGTATGCATGTACATGTAAAGCCGGCAAACCATTTTTCCAAGGGGGGTCAAAGTACCCGCTGTCGGCACAGACTGGGCGTGAGGCCTGGGACTTCCATCCTAAGCCTGATGCAGTCCCTGACACCTCTGGAATCGATGTACCTGAACGGCACACGCATGCAATGCTTTCTTGTAGAATGATGCCGTAGCCTTCGAGTCTGCCAAACCTTTGCTGCCTGGCAAGCAGCAGAGAGCCCGTGCAACACCAGCCAAGGTATGGCGCTTCTGTTTTCGTTGCAGCAGCTGTAAACGAGTTCGATGACTCTCGGCGCCCGATGGCCGTTGCCTTGTTCTTAGTCGTTGCTTCTGCGGCTTGTCAGTGCACTCGTGCCTTCATCATCCTGCAGCTCCGCATCGCAGATATGCCCTGCAGGACTCGATGCCGAATCATAACGTGTTGTAACCCTGTCCACAGGGAATCCAAACAAGTCATCCTTAAGTCCCTTAACCAACGTGCGGGGATTAAGGCCTTGCTGGCGGCCCCCATTGTTCTTACGGCCCTGCACTCGGCTGGTGCACCTTTGCTACTGAGATCGGTTGGTAGGTCTGTACGACAACCTGGTGCCACCAAAGTGGCGATCACTCAGAGACCAAAATCGCCGTGCACACCTCCCTGTCTTTGAGTGCTGTGCATTGAGCTGCACGGATTTGTTGATGTCGGGTTCGGTTTGAGATGCGCCCAACATCGAGGCCCTGGCCCACCTCGCATGCAAGTCGAGCAGTGACAGCTCCAGCTGCCGGGACCCCGGATTAGGGATAGAAGATCGAATCTACTATCCAATATGCGACGAGCTAGTATGCCATTCAAAGATTTCGCTTCCAGCACCGTCGTAAGGCAGTGTTCTAGCAATGCCATAGTTGATTTTCTAAGAATCTAAATCTCTTTGGTACCGTGTAGCTGACGCATTTGCGAAATGGCTACACTGCCGTGCTTCAGCCCTGCAGCACTTTAGCTTGTCACCGGTTCCGGGTTAGCGAGTTGTAGTGTTTCTGCACGAAGATGGTGCAGTTGTCAAAGACAGCAAGCATTATGTTATGAAGGCATAGTGCCGGGCTTTCGGTATCTGCGGCCTTGAAGTCCACTAGGACAGCATAGGGGTGGATTTCCCATGTGACGATGCATTTCTAAATGCGGCATGCGTTGCTCTACACACCTTTCAAAACGCGCTGTCGCGGTTAGGCCCGGAGTGGGCCGTTCCTGGCGAAGGTCCAACACCCAGCATGCCTTGGGTGCTCGGGGGGTCTGGATGGTTGACTCATGGAAAGGAGGAAGCCCCAAGGCCCGACATTCCCAGGCCCCAGCTGAAGAACCCTGCGGATACGGTCAACCGAAAGCGCCCGTGCCAGGAAGTGAAAGGTCGAAATCTTGCTTTGTGTTGGTTCTTGTGTTTATCCTTCCTTGTGTGCCGTTCATGCGCACCTTTGCTAGCGCTGCCCATGATCTTTTTTCACGAGGATGGAAGTGGCCCGCTGCCGGTTGCCTGGTCTGGGCCGCTGTCACGGCTTTCACCGCCTGGGTGCAGTTGGACATGCTGGAGCAGGAGATATGCCTCTAGGGGCACCCCTTGAAGATGCTCCAAAGCTAAGTTTGCGTGGACGAGCAAGAATTCGAAGAGCTGACGGGAAGGCACAAAGGGGACGGTGTGAGGAGACGAGGCCTTCCTTCCTTGGTCGGTCAACCCTACCGCCATCCACCGCCGCACCCGCCACGCTGCCCCAAGCATTCTCCGGCCTCTGAGCAAGGAGTCGGAAGAGGAGGACGTCTGGCCGGAACCTGAGCCGTTTGTGCGTAGCTCCAGGTCTTGCCCTTCAGTGTTTTTCAGTTCTCTGCTGCCGCTGCAGACGTGGCCTCGAGTGCGTAGGCAGAGGATTGGGGCTTAGGGGCCCGCATGGCGACCGGCTTGGAGACGGAGGCCCAGGAGCCGGAACAGGCGCCCGAAGAGGCACCGGAGGCGCAGGAGGGACCAGCAGCGCCGCCAGCGCCCCTGAAGCACGAGCTTCAACATCGATGGTGTTTGTGGCTGCATCAGCAGGGGGAGAAGGCCCACCAGTCGGGTCAGGCATGGAACGAAAGCCAGCGGTCGGTTCACTCCTTCAAGACGGCGGAGGACTTCTGGTGCATGTACCACCATGCCTACCCGCCTTCGAAAATGGAGCATGTGGATTACTCGCTTTTCAAGGAGGGCATCACTCCAGCATGGGAGGATGCCGCTCTGAAGAATGGCGGGCGTTGGGTCATGAAGCTCGAGAAGGTGAGGGCGCAGACGTTGGATGATTTGTGGTTGTCCGTCGAGTTGGCCCTCATCGGCGAGGCCTTCCTGCCCAAAGGCGGCGAGGTCGTCGCGGGTGCCGTGGTCTCCATACGGAGCCGCATCAGCAAGATCGCTCTGTGGCTAACACAAGCCAAGGACGAGAAGAAGGTGGGGGTCTGGGGTCTACAGATGTCTGCCGTATCTCTTCTTCTCTTAATCATAGCGCAGTCTTTTCGGTGTAGGGTACGTGAGACTTCTAAAGTGGACCATGGCTTGATTGAGCCTGGAGGTGATGGCCTTGGGTCGCTTCTACAGAGAAGTCTTGGCCGGGACACCCGGTTGTCAGGACTACATCAACAGGGAGCTGACCTTCGAGGACTTCAAGAAGGGAGGAGTGACCTTCCTCATCAACAAGTCGAACTCCCAAAGTGATCAGCAGACTGCTGGCATCTTTCAGTGAGCCCAAGGCCTACCAGGGCCTATCAATGCCCGAAAGAGCGGACAGCACCTCCGAAGATGCCCGAGAGGTCGCTTGAAAAAAGATGCCAAGCCGAGGGAGCTCAGCCCAAGATAGGCATGTCAGGGATGGCATCGCTTAGAGATGTGAACTGGTTCAAGGGGCTTTGCAGTCCTCAATGGAAAGGAACCTCGAACTCCAACTTCCGACCACACAAGTACTGCACGCATCCTCAGAACGAAAGCACGTAATAAGCCATCTCACTTATCAGATCTCGTTCTCCCTGCACACCTACACGTCCGCTGGAGCTCTAGCTTTCAGTTCCCAAGCTTGCCCCCCAAGGCTACCCAAGAACACCGAAGCTCTGGGGTCCTTCTGTTGTGGCAGCAAAGTCGTGGAATGTTAGAAAACCCAAGAGTTACCTAATAAAATATGTGTCTAGAAATAGATACAAGAAGGGCATACATATATACATATATATACATATATATATATGTATATATACATATACATATATATATATATGTATGTATCCATATATATATATATGTATATGTATATGTATGTCTATAATGTATAATATGCATGTGCATGTGCCTGGACAAACCCGGAATATCAGTCATGACTAATTATTGGGATGTGGACAGCTGGAGTGTTGAGACTTTGGGCTTCATTTTCAGCTTCCGTGGCGCAGCAGATGGCTGTCTCCAGCTGCGTAAAACGGTTGAAACGTAGGAAAGTGCTGCAGCACCAGCGCCACAGCCATTTCGAGTACCAAGGCATGAATATCCGTGGCCTCTGGGTGGCCGCAAGAGGAGCCGGTTATTCCAGGCTAGAGGCGCCGATTTAGGAAAGGAGCTCGAGGCTAGTGATAACCAGCAGTCGACCATACAGTTGACCAGCGTTTATTACCAGGGGCTGCATCCTTCCCTTGCCGAGACTTGCACAGAGCTTCTAGGAGAAGCTGGCGAATGGAGGAAGGCACGTCTGATCCTGCTTTGTGATCTTGACTGATGAAGCCTTGAATTCAGGACTCAGGTTCGATGTCAGTCAGTGGGATAGCTGTATGGAAAGCTGGTTGCTTCTGAGAGGTGATGATTGGCATCACTAATGCTCTCAGAGCATTAAAGCCTCACGCTGCGCATTGGTGGCCTTTGCCGGCCGAGCCAGACTTGTCTGGGCCTTTTGGCCCTGACTGTGAAGCTGCTTGCCTAGCCGAGTTTGACAAGCCGGGCATGCCGCTCCAGGTTTCTAAAGGTTTCCCCTTCGGATGCGACGAAAAACGGTGTAGGCATGGGAATTGTACAGATCCGTGCCAGCCAAGCACGTGGCTTGGCTGAATCCTCTACAGCAGCTCGATGCGCTCAAGATGCCCAGCCCCGAAGACTGCGCTAGCGCCGGTCACTGTTTCCGTTAGACAGGTGGCCAAGGCTCCCGGCCACAGGTGTCGGAAGAGCACAGCGCGAAACGCGCCAAAGCTCTGAATTCGTGAAAAGAGCCTGGCAAACTAATGCCATGCAGCCTCCTGAAGCCGGTCCTGATGATATTGCCCGCATGTTCAGAGGGACTGGGACCCATTGCCCGCGCCTTTGCCCGCAGCTCGTTTTCTTCAGAAGTGCCGCCCCTGTCGCACCTCTCTTTTGCAGAGGATTCAGGGCAGAAGCCATGAGTGGCGTCCCCAGTCACAAGCCTCTATGGGAAGCGACGAAGCTGCACAAAAACATCCAATCTTCTTGCGATATGTTATCGAAGCAAAACTTTTCAAGTTTCACATGTGGCTGTCTGGGAACTTTGGTTTGCCGGAGTATATTCAAAATATGACACGTTCATGATGTCCGACGCTCCCCGAGGCCGTGCCGTACTGCAGGTGTTTGAGGAATATCAGAAGGACGGCGTGATGTTGTGCAGAATCACAGAATGCAAGTCCACATAGTCTTCGCCTCTCGAAGGCCCGTGTGACCTTCGTCCAGACTGTGGCAGACCTCGTGGCACCACCTCGCTTGGTAACTGTTCTCGAAGAGACTCGGAGTGTCGCCGCAGTAGACTTCCCCTCTGCGCCACCATGGCAGGCGACGCGCCCACAGAACATCGATGCACTCCAAAATGCAGGCACGGCTCTCTGAATTGCAGATTGCTTTCATCACAAGGAAGTCCCATAAATCACCAAACTACTCCGAAACCCTCGATCCCCAAGTCTGCAAGAAGTGACTGTAAACCCAAACGAGGAGTGATGGCGCTTTTGCGTCCCCTGCTCCTGGATAATGTGGCCTCCATCCAGTGTCTCGGCTGCAAGCTGCACAAGCTCGACAGCCGGCTCGAAGTTTTGGTAAGCATGGCTTTACGTCTTTAGAACTTCAGGCCATAGGGCTCCGCGATTCTATGTCCCTGCTTCGTTGCTCTCTGACTCCAAAGCCCAGGCAGTCAGCAGCCCTAGCTTTGGGACGCCTGGCCAACTATAGGCCGGAACTGCCAACCGTGCCGTTGGGCTTGGGGTTTACGTTCGAGTTGGTTTTCAGTTTTCTTGCGTGCATCCCCCTGCATCGATTGTGGTTCCTGCGTGTTCGACGATCCTACACCATACATGAGGCAAGACCCAAGCCCTCGTGGCTCTGCTTTAGGGCTTCGTCAGAACCAGACAGAGTGGCACATGATCGTTGTTAGGTTGTTGCTTCATCCGCTGCAACTTCTATGGCTTTTGCTTTCCACATGTTGCTAGCCTTCTGATACGAAGAGTTCTTGCTGTTATGCCAAGTCATGATGCTTCTACATCCCAAAGATGAGAGCCCAATGTGTGGAGCCTGTAGAATGCCCCCTGTCCTACCTTCGCTCCTTCGAATTCCTTGATCTGCCTGAGCCCAAGCTTCAATCCTCGAGCCCTAAACTAACGCCCTGAAATCTGTTTCATAGGCCCGAGACCCGAAAAAGCCCATCTGCCAGTGACGAGCTCGCCGAGTCGGTAGTTACCCACGAGATCTTGCCACAGTTGGTGCAGCCGGTCTGAGACATCTGGGAGGTGTTCTAGTCAGCTTATTCTTTCTTCTCTTGATTCTGGGAAACTCATATTGGATTGGTCTTTGACAAGAGAATCCCAAATGTGGGGCAACCCAATCGGACAGAGGTCCGGAGTGGATTGTACGGCTTGGATGAGATGCGAATTCACGACTGAGTCTGGACATTGGCCGTTTTGAATCCTGGTCAAGAGCCCTGAGATAATCCCCAAAACAGGATCCCTCAAAGGACTCTTGAAGTTAGGAAACCTGGTAAGAAGCTCGTTGGCCAGGCTACGCAAGCACAGATGTGCACGAACCAGGCTTCAACCCAGAAGTGCAAAAGTTTTCTTCGCTCTGCCTTTTCCACGAACCTGGATGTTGCTGTAGCAGATGGACAACATCAAAAGGTACCCTCGCCCAAGCGTTGCGATTTCGGCATCCCAGCTGCTCTGGGCCAAGGTATTCGCTGGCTCAGCAGAACCGCTTTTACAAGAAGGCCTGCTTACGTTTCCCTCTTCGAGCTCGCATCATTGTGCTCTGATGCAAGGCTGCTGCTTTCGTCCTTCGTGCCGTGTCGAAGCACTCTCCACAACTGGCACAGGCACCCTGTGTCTGCAGAAAGAGGCAGCTACATTATCTTATAGTGCATCGTAACGATGTCAGAGCCGAGCATAGCGAATTAACGTGGTGCAAAACATGGTTTAGTCCAGCATAGTATAGTACAGTATACAGGAAGGAGAGTAGAGTAGAGTAGAGTACCCTGAAGTACAGCACGTTTTGTAGCGTCTTCTTTGATTTCATGTGGCCTCATATAGTCATATAGCATGATGTTGTACCATATTGCATTCTATTGTGTCATGTTGCATTATAAATGTGCCAGAACTGTTTTTCATTGTGTTACATCTGATATCGACAACACGAGATTGCAGTAGGGTAATAAATTGTATAGCTTGTATTGTACCGCGACCTTTCGTATACGTAGCAGCATAAGTATAACAGTATAACAGTATAAGTTCCCTCAATAAACCCTACACCCTTAACGCTAATCTGTGTTGTAATCATACCGTTATTTATCGGGGACGTCGTGGACCGAGGCAGTGGTCGACTCCGGAGCGTTGGAGGCTCTGGTAAATTGCCTGGAAGAGTTCGACCCTTCCGTGAAGGCAGGGACTGTGTGTTCGTCCGTTTATGTCTGGCAGATTGGTAGTGCTGAATGGATGCCTTCTTGCTCCACTTGCTCAATGATCTGGCGTAGCTAAATAGCACCTTGTGGATGATCGGGTTGCTGAGGGCCCATGGACTGCAGGTTTTGTCACACGGGAGTCAAAGACACAGCTAAATGCCCAAACAGCGTAGCCGGTCCATGGTGCTGGACCTGTGGCAGGAAGCAGCCGCGTGGGCGTTGGGTTACATTGCAAGGTCGCTTCCTCGGTTTCGATTTTTAGCCCGTTTGAGGTGTACTCAACCCTGGCTTGCATGCATACATGTGAGTACATACATGCATGCATGCATACATACATACATACATACATACATACATACATACATACACACATTATGCATATGTATACATGCACGCACACACACACACACGTCTGTGCACATATACATCAGTGCATACACATTTACACAGACACATGCATGCATACATACATGCATACATACATACATACATACATACACACATACATACATACATACATACATACATACATACATACATACATACACACATACACACACACAGAGACATACACACATGCACACATACATACATACATACATACATACATACATACATAGAAACCCCGCAAGCATGCCACCTTATTTGTGTAGGTAGCTTCATCGATAGATAGGTAGATAGATAGGTAGGTGGGTAGATACATAGGTAGATATGAACAGGTTCATAGACAGATAGATAGATAGATAGATAGATAGATAAATAGATAGATAGATAGATAGGTCGTTTAGATTGATGTAGTTTCATAGATTGACAGATAGCCAGATAGCTTGCTAGCTAAAATGATTGATAGATGAATGGGTAGATTAGATAGATAAATAAATCATTCCATCGATGGATGGATGGATGGATGGATGGATGGATGGATGGATTCATGGACGCATAGATGGAGAGGTACATAGTCAGGTGTTTCCCGAATTACGCACCCCTCTCGAAGCGCAGAGCAAAGTTCTGTTGCAAAAGTGCCGAACCCGGTAACGAAGCCTCGATTGTGCAACTTGCCAGGCACACCAAAGAGTTGGCGCAGACGGTAGTCGACGCAGGTCCATTGCATCTGAAAGGAGGATCACGAGCCAGGATGCATCCTATCGCCATGACTGTGGGACATCTGGCTCGAAGGCAACCGGTCCCCGGATAGAAAAGCCTCATGGCACGCACTCCAAGAGTCTAAGAGGCATCGAATCTGAGCCAGGTCTCAACCTTGGTCCCCTGGAACAGACTCCGCACCATTGGAAAACCAGCAGCACCCAAAACCCGACCTCTGCAGCCGGAGTCCCAGCCCGAAGACCACCACCGGGCATAGGCCTGGCAGTTCAATGCAGTTCAGACCTCACCCAAAGCTTTCAGTAAGACACCTGCACCTCCAACGGGCCTTTTCCTCTTCCTGGAGCCATGGTGGACTTAGACCTGTCCGAGGAAGAGCTGAAGGCAGATTGCAGCAAGCTTCGGGTGGTCGGAGATCTAGGTTTTAGTACCTTCCCCACCACACTCGCAACCATGACGAGCGTTTCCGGCCCGAACTGAAACACCACCAGCACCACCACCGAGAATTCCAACAGCAGCAAGGTGGCGCTGGGCCGCGTTATCTCCGACAGTGGCTGGCCAACTCCCGGCACGGTTCGTGTCTCAGCGCTTGGATCAGGTTTTAGGTGGCCCCGTAGGGGGCGGATATCAGGACATGTGGAGTCTGGGGGACAGCGAGGATTTGAGATCTTCCTCTAAGTATTCCTTTCTGTCTGGCGACTTCCCGAGATCTGCGGGAGTGGCTGAGGGTTCAGCCCGGGCCGAGTGCTCCTCTACATGCCATCGTTCAAATGATGTCTAACGACTGCACCTAGCGCCACGAGACCAGCAGTTACTCTCTACAGCGACCAACTTCGGTCCCAAGCCGGATGCTTTCCGACCCAGGTTGTCACAATTGCTGCAGATTGGGATGGTTCCTACAATGGCGACGACTTCCTGAGACTTCAGGCCCGCTTTCGGCTAGCAGAACAGACCGAAGAGCACTGACAAGGCAAAAGCAAAGCAAGAAAAGCATCGGGCACATCTGCGACAAGGGCTCTGACCATCACTCGGTTCATCGGGACTTGGAGTCCTAGAGTGGTGTAGCTGGGTGCTGGAACTCTTCTCCCTGCAGGGCTACATCTTACATCTTCTTGCGTCTACTCGCTTATTACTAGTTGTATGGTCGGTGGGTGTAGGGCCCGCCAAGGGCGAGGCTTGAAAGCATGCACTTCTTCATCGTCGATTGCGGGTGACAGCTATTCTCGTTGACTGGAAGGAGGGCTTCCTTGCAGGACTCTTGGATCTCTGTCGAGATGATGGGGCTTCTATTGCACACCTTCGGGTGTATGTGAGAGTCCTCCACTCTGTTAGGATCTTGATGGGAAACATCTGTGTCATATCCACCAGGCGCGGGTGCGACCCATCGTCCTCACACATTTGGTTTTTGACCGATCAATGCTGCCACCTCTTCCTTTCGATTCAGTTTGGCTTCCTTGGATTTCGCGTCCATGGAGTTCTTAGAAGCCAAACCTCCAGGCTGGAGAGCAAGTGAGGATCACAGCCGGCGGCCGAGTGTTTTCTTGGTATCGGAACGGGGTGTCTTCTCGTAACTTCCGTAGAAGTTTAGACTCCCTTCCTTGAGTCAAGCAACCACGGGCCTTTGGCCCGAAATCCCGCGACATCCCGGAGAGGGTGAAGGTTTCAAGTCTAAGATTCGGGCTTCGGGTTCGAGGTGCACGCTTTTTTTCAAGGCCGAAAGACCTCAAGGGTTGTCGCCCAGGACGCGTCGTCAGGCGGTGCGTTTCTCTACGGCTCGGCCTGGGCCTCGATCTGAGGGTCCTTAAGCGGAGGACTGGATACAGGAGGCAACGACCAGTGATTCGGTTCTAGTTAACGTCATTACTGTAGCTGTAGTCCCCAAGTGGTCACCCCATCTGCATTGACGAGCATTTTGGTTTCTGCTTCTTGCTGGTGTACGAAGAGCAAGTTGGAGGCTGTATGCGACGAGGGTTCACTTCAGATGCTTGAATGTTGGCTTTGTGCTGATTGAGCTGCAGACCCCTGGCTAGTGGTACAGTTGTTCCTCATGACAAAGTTCGTCCACATTATGCCTCAGAGCCGGGTTAGGGTCAAGATTCATCTTGCGTGAGGCCAAGCCAAAAGACAGAGTCCGGGTTTTTGTGCACAGTTGCTCGACTCGTCTTGCAGGCACGGCCTCTAGGACGTGTATCGATACTGGTCATGTTCCGAAAAAGCGACACTTCATCAGCTGCCAAGAGCACCACATGATTCCGTGATCCACTACCGTTCATCCTTTTGCAATCATAACAGAAGACGTCCTCCCAAAACCCTAGTCTCAACGACTCCAAGCAGAGTGACGGGATCCTGCAAAGTCCATCAGCCCTGGTGGTCCAAAACCCTCGCAGCCAGAAAGCCCTGAAGTTCCCTTAGCTCCGCAGCCCAGCAACGGCCCAAACTGTGCCCCTTGAGGTTGTCACAGCCCGAGGACCGTCACGGTCAGGATGGTTCGGTGGTCCCGGTTGTGAGGCCTGGACAAGTGCAGGGTTTGGGCTGCAGACGTGGCATTAACCCCAGCGGCAGGGCAATGTAGCGTCTGTGATTCTGCGCTGTTGTGCCAGAAATGCGGAAAAGAACAGCTCCAGCCGCCACATTGCCTTGCTCAGGCCGTCTTGGCAGTGTCCATCCCCGTACCCCTTGGCAAGGGCTCCGAAGAGGACCTGCCGCTGGAGGGCCCAGGAGGCACAGGCATGCGTCAAAAAGAGAGAGTTCTGTCGGAGAAGATGATGCTAGCTTGTCCAAGCCTTCAAACCCTGAAGGCAAAGCCGCTGGTTTTGGCTTCAACGGGCCACCGGGCTCACTTCAAGAAGAGGTCGAGGCCTCCTCTCCGCTGCGGACGCTTGATGCGCGCGCTTAAATTCCTTCTACACCCAGCAAAATCAAAAGCTCTCTTAACCCAGGGCTGCTCTAATGCGACAAAAGCTCCGACATTTCTGACGTTGTTCACGGGAAGCTAGCAGGAGAAATGCTGACTTCCAAGTCTCTGAACCTCAAGACACTCTACTCCAAGCGTCGCACGCAAGACACACCGACTATTTTCGCTGCGTGGCCGCTACACAGACATGTCAGAAGGTTGCATGAAGCTGAGCCTCCCGCTCTTTAAAATTCGATCAGCACGAACAAGACTCCAGCGCTCTTCAGCACAGGCCTACGTGGAGCGAAACTGCGTGGACATCCCGGCAGCCACGAGGCTTCGGGAGCTGCCACCTGAGCTCCAGGCGCCTGCGGCCCGCGGTGTAGTGTCCCAGCTACGGGCGGAAGCAGGCGCAGGTCAAGATGCCTGGGCTTTACGGTTCTGTCGTTCCTGACCGCTGCTCCTCCGACTCTCCGATTTACATACAGTTCCCATTTACATCATCCTGCTGTCAAGCCTCAGACGCGTGGAGCGACCTCAGAGGCTGAGCTCATAAAGACCGACATGACGAAGAGCATCCGCAACCCATCTGCAGTGAGGGCCCCGGCATCACTGAAGTTGGCACAAGGGCGACTTGGGATTTCGGGCCGCATGCCGGGCTCCTCTAGGGGTCTGTTTCTAAAAGGCAGCGGGGTCTCTGGACAAGCCAAAGAAGCCTCTACGGTGAGGCGCTACTGAGCCGCATCAATCACCTCGTTAAGGCCGGTGCGAGGTTAACTTGCTTGGTGTTGTTGGACTGGGAGGGCTTCAGGCTTCCGAGATCACGATTTTTCCTGCGTGATGCAGAAGATCAGAAGACCTAGCATCACGTCAGAGAGACTTTGTTAAAACAGACTTGTACGTGGCGGTAGAGCAGCTGTACGGAAGTTTAGGAGGCGCTGCCTTTGGAAGAAAATACCAAGTGAAGGGCTTAAGCTGTCAACACGAGGGTGTCCCAAAGCTCCTTGTGTCAGCTGAGGGGCAGATGATGGAATCGCTAGCTCGCAATTTGTCTTAGGCCTGCTCCCTGAATGCTTTCATCTGACAGGAGGCGCAGTTTACGGAGCCTCCACCCCAGGTGGTGTCCCGAGCCGAGGCAAGTCGGGCTGAAGGAGGTCTGATAGTTTCCAGATCTTGTCTCTCGTGATGCGGAAGTGGATCTTGGGAATCGGTTTCAGAGATGTTTCGGCTTCTAGAGAAAGTCCAGGCATCGCAACAGGACCTCATAAAGCCCGAATCTTTTGATCTCGACCCAATTTCCTTCCGCGCAGACCAGACCGAGTGTTGGAAGGTTCCTCAGATCGCGATCCGTGGTAGTGCTGGGCTCAGGCGGTCCCTGCACCTCTGTTGGTAGTTCGTGGAAGCAGTTCAGCCTGCAGAACTTGTCACGAGTAAGCCGAAAGACGACTGCCGTGGACGAGTCCGGACATATTTCCCGAGCTTGCAGTCATCTGCGCTGATTTGAAGTTACAAGGGTGCTTCTGAAGATTGTTGGGGGGGGGGGGGGGTTGCCCAAGCTGTCGCGAGGAAGGTTCAGCTACGCGGAAGTTGTGTGGTTCCTATGGTTGTGGGCTTGGTGTGGGTTTGGATCCTCAAGGGGCGTTCCGGATAATCATGAAGAGGTCAGGTGAGGTTGTGAAACATGATCTGCTGCGCTGCTGCTACTGCCGCTGCTCTCCAAGCCGCTGCGTGCAGGGGACCGCACGAACGAAGCAGAAGCCCACGGAGGATGCAGAGGCCGAACCAAAATACCAGGGCTTGCATGCAGAGCAAGGCAAAGAGCTCAGATCCTCCGGCAACCTCGAGCTGCATTAGATGAAGCCTTACTGTGGTTTTCAGTTTTGCGATCACCTGTGCTTTGGGTTTGCGATGCATAGCATGGTTCGGATTTGCAGTGCCGCAGGTCGGGTGGAGCCATCCCAGCTAGCCGCTTTAGTGCTCCAAGGATGGGCGAGGCACAGGTGGAAAGTCGTCTCGAAATCCTCTGTTCGTCCGGAAGTGGCAGTTGGCCCTGGGAGAAGTGCAGGCAGTTTTTCTTCATCTGCTGTGCGTGCACAGTTTGAAGGA